AAGGGTGTATTTGGTACGTATTTTGTTCCTTCAAGGACGTTGGCAAGCGCGGCTCTGGCGTCAAGGGCTTTTGCCTTGTTGCTCCAGAGCTATCTCATTCTCATCGCCTTGTAGAGAGAATCCTTTGATTTACACAGAGAACCAGAATCTGCTCCCTGAGTATCGTCAACTTGTTACTCTTGCTCAAAAGCACCGTGAGAATGTTGTACCTTACTCTAAGAGCTGTCAGATCCTTGAGAGTGAGGATTTTGGTGTTTTTTTGAGCGCCAAAAAGTACTATAATCTCGTTCGAAATCAGCCTGCGGATAAGGGAGATTCTGAGTCGATTCAGGGCCTCCTTAAAGCTCTTGATGATGCTGAATTCATCCATCATCAACGCATTAGTACCGAATACAGCACTGAGGGCAAACTGATAGCTCAGCGACTTACTCAAATCTGGTTTGCTCATCCAAAACAGCTTCTCGCAGCTCAGAAATTCGTCGCCGATCAAGTTCTTGTTATTGACGGTACCTTCAATACGAATGAACTTCGCCTCCCTCTCCTTGCCGCTGTTGGTATAACGAATTCAGGGTCAACCTTCCCTGTGGCGCTCAGCTATTGCCCCTCAGAGAGCAAGGAGTCGTTCAAATTCTTCTTCGATTGCCTTACTCGCGAATGCTTCAAATCCGAGGATAATATCCCTCCTTGTCAAGTTGTTATTAGCGACCAAGCTGGTGGCTTGATTTCTGCTCTCCCTGAGGCGCTGCCTAGAGCCGTATTACAAAGAGCTGCGACTGGCATGCTATTGAGGCCATGAAGAAAAGGTTCAGAACTTCAGGATACAAAAAGGATGAGGTGGATATTTTGAGCGATCTCTGCTGGATCTATATCAAGAGCGCAACTGCGCAGGAGCTTGAGGACAACTGTAAAAAGCTCATAGAGGAGCTACGGCCTGCTGAGAAGAAGTATATACGCGAAATCTGGGTACCAAAAGAGGAGCGAGTGGTATATCACTATACAGATAAGTATATGAATCTCGGTTGTACCTCAAGCTCTCGATCAGAGGGCTATCATTCAGTTCTCCGTGTGATGACTAATGGCCAGCTATCCCTTGAACAATCCGTCAAACGACTTGTTAATACAGTTATCTCTATCCTCAAAAACTGCCCACGTCAGTTATAATGTGATAAAGCTGCATTTTGATTTCTATTTAACGAAATTTCTATTTGCCCTTAATAAGCTTGCTAACAAGTAAGAGTTAGTTAAGAATATAGCTGCTAATTAAGAGGCTCTAGATAATAAATAGTGTTAGTATTAGTTACTTCTTTAATAGTATTTACCCTGCAAACATTATTTATTCTCTATTATTAAGAGTAGTTAGCCTATCCTTAAGTCATTAATACACCCTTAATAGTGAATTAATAGCCTTATTATTTGATTTAGTGACTAGATACTAACAAATCAAGAGGCTAATAATACAGAGATATAAGAGACTAACTATTTATCTCTACAACGTCGCTAACACATCTCTGTAAGGCAGCATCTCCTTGTACTTAGAGACGCTCTATCTAGTACAGATCAAGCCTATATTGATGACGAAATAGCTCAAAATGATAGGAGGATATTAGGTCTTGCGCAGGCTGCGTATGAGGGTCGTGGGGTCCCTGTGGCCTACCCTTTACCTGTACCAAAGCAGAAATGGGTACGTAAAGCGGCTCATGGCAAGGCTAACGCTAGAGGGCTCACAGGGGCTGAAATAGCTGCTAGAGAGCTCAACGCTCGTGAGCGTGAGCAGAGACTGCGAGAGAGAGACCAACTTGCTATTAATATGACTCGGAGCGCTTCTACTCAAGTGCAGATGCCCCAGTTTGGTCCTAGAGACGTTGCTGATATAGCAGGGCAACAGGATGAGATTCTCATCAGAGCAACGCCGCCGCCGCCGCCTCCGGAGGAGTCAGTTACCAGGGCAACGCCGCTACCGTTCGAGGATAGCTTGTCTACGCCCCAGCAGGAGGAGGAGGAGGAGGAGGAGGAGGATCCATTCGTTCTACCTGCCTCCACAGCTCCTGCCCTGTTACAGACGAATGCACGGCCAAAACGGTCTAGAGGACCTACCCTGGACTATAAGGCTATGCACGAGGGCAAGCAGAATCAGCCGAAACGAGGCAAATAGGCCCAAATACTAGATGCAACGCCATAGAATGTATAGAGAGTCTCAAATAGGCAATAGGTCTCATAACAACTCTGGTTGAACAGCACTCTGATAGATACTTCATAGAGTCATATGGGGGGGTTTGAGTGATAAATTCCCCGCCAAATTTTGGTGGCGTTTATATTGCCAAGCCCCAAAACGCCGACACGCCGAATCCGCAGAAATCGAATCTGGCTGTCGAATCTGGCTGCCCCGAGACAACCCCGGGCCCTTCGGCTAATGTCGATGAAAATTCTACGCTAGTATCCTCTCTTCGTCTAGATGAGATATCTCTAATAGCATCCCAATCCAATCCTAGTTCTTCTAACTGGATTTGTGATAGTGGAGCAACCGCTTACATGACTGACCAGATTAACGCATTCGAATCAGACCTTATAGTTAATGAATCAGGAAAGCGCAAGGTTAAAGTGGGCAGTAGGACTCTCTTTATTCAGGGAAGAGGTACTGTTAATGTCAAGCTACTGTGTAGTAATTTAAGACTATATAATACTTTATTTGTTCCTTATTTAGGTGCAAATTTACTCTTTACTTCTCGCGTTATTCTTAAAGATTTTTATGTTGTATATAATTATAGACTATATATAGTCTATAGAACTTTAGATAATAAAAGCATGTTTCAAGCAGAAAGGCTTAATAGCAAATATTTATAAATTGCTATTTAGGCAACTAATGACCTTACTAAATCAACTAAACAAGCTTACCCTGCAAAGGAACACAAGAAAGTAAAAGCTAACCCTGAGGACTAGTTAGAGGTTTATTTTGATGTAAGTTATTTATACTAATTAGGAATAAGAAAAGCAAAGATTTTTAGGGAATATAATAAATAGCACTATCATTTAGGATATGTTAACGAAAGAAAGCTTTAATATCTTTATAAGGTGTTAAATCTATCTAACGCCATTCTTACGAAATCCTTAATTAAGTATAAATACGACGCTTGCAGTATAGCAAAAGCTAAGAAGAACCGGAATCATAAGCTTGCAGAGCGAGTGAAAGCACCCTTAGACCTGATCTCTGCAGATATTTGTAACAAATTCCTAGTAGCAAAACATTAGGATAAAGAATACTTCCTTAAGGCAATTAATAACTATACTTGACGTAGTATCATCTTTACTAGTGTTACTTAAGTAAACGTTGCTAAACAATTTTTTATATAAAAGAAAACTGCAGAATTACAGACTAAGAGAAGGCTTAAGGCTATCTATATTAATAATATAAAGGAACTTAATTCGAGAGTCTAGATATAAGCAGACAAATCAGGTATAAAAGTGCAACTTACAGCGCCATATATATTAAGCCAAAATGGAACTGCTAAACAAGCCTTATAATCTACTTAATTTATTATACGATTAATACTCGCTTATACTTAACTTCCAGAGAATTATTAGAACCTTACAGTCTTAGCAGCCTCTTTTATCAAGAACAGGCTCTTTAACAGTCCTAATCTAGAAAAGAAAGACAGTAACAAGCTTAAGCAATCCTCTAAGCAAGCTTAGTTTAAGAAAATTCCCTGGGTTGATACTCTTCGCGTCTTTAGCTTAAAGTATTTTATTTATATAGACAAGCCAGAAAACAAAGCAAGCTAACGCAGAGAGGTAGGCATCTTCCTCAGCTATGCTAACGCTGCCTAATACTGGGTAGAAATAGTCAAATCTAGCATACTAAAGAGAGTAGATACAGCTTGCGTCTTAGTAGACGAAACCATACCTGGCGGTACTCTCCTCTCTAGCTTAACGAATAATAATAATCTAGATTCGTTAAGAGTGAGAGAAGGATCAGAGAAATCGCTAGATCTGTCTACTAAGAAGGATACAGAACTAGCAACGTTGAGCAGAGGATTCAGCTTGAGTGGGAGCATAAAGGATGTTCAGAAAGGTCTAAAACTGTCTAGCAGTATAGCTGAAAATGTACAAAAGGATCCAAAACTGCCCGGCAGTTTAGAGACCCTTGATGAACCTTCATTATCCGATGCCTCCTAAGCTCCTAGGACATCTTTACAACTAGGTTTACACTCAAGCACAAAGGCAACAAGGGAATCAGACTCAATAAGAGCTGACAACCCTGCCAAAGACTAATTGCCTAAAGAGGTAAATAAAGTTGGCTGTATACGTATAGCTAAATTATTACCTAAAGCGGAAACCTCCCTAAGAATTGTTATTGAGATTCCTTCTGCTAGACTAAGGACTCTATAAGTTAAGGAACCTTCTCCTGTTGCTGCTGCTCCTGCCTTAAAGGCATCTAAACGTTATACTAAGGACAATATTAGTCCTGAAGACAACAAGAAAGCCCGGCTATCTTTAAAAGAAGCCAAAGCTAGTACAAAGAATATTGTTTCTAAGATTAATATAATTATAGCAGAAATAGCCTTCTGGGTAAGAGTAATAAAAGCTGATTAGCTTTACAGAGTCAACAATCAAGTCTCTATTCCTATAAGCTATAACGCTGCTATTAATAATCCCGTCTATAAACAAAAGTAGCAAGAAGCAATCCAGAAGAAACTTAATAGACTGATCAGCAACAGTACTTAGCAAGAGGAGAAGCTCCTTAAGGACGCCAATCAGGTCACTAGCAAGTAGGTCTTTATTATTAAGTACAATATTAATAGTAGCATTAAACGTTACAAGGCCAGACTTATTACCCGCGGGTTTAGTCAAATCTATAGTCAAGATTTTAAGGAAATATTCGCCCTAATAATACACATTAATTTGTTAAGGATGCTTATAGCTATTATAGCAGTAAAAGACATAAAAGCTGAACAGGTAGATGTTAATAACGCCTTTACTAAATCTAAGCTTTATAAGATAATTTATATAAAGCCACCTCCTGATGTTTAGATTCGACCTGGCTTTATTTTACAGCTAATCTAGAGTCTTTATGGCCTCAAGCAATTAGCACACAAATAGTACCTTTAATATAGCAAAGTCCTTAAGGATATAGAATTTAAAGTAACGAATACAGATCCTTATGTCTTTATTCAAAAGGACAGCGCTGTCATCAGGCTGTACATAAATGACCTGATAATTCTGACCCCTAAAGGGCATCTTCAAACAATAGTCGATATTAAGGATTAACTAGATTCGATTTTCAAGATTAAAGAACTTGGTGTAATCAAACAAGTCCTTAGTATTAGGATATAACACACTTATGAAAAGCATAAGGTCTACTTAGATTAATAAGCTTATATTAAGAAGTTTCTTTATGAATTTATTATAGAGAATCCTATTGCAAAAGAAACAGCTATTCTATTACCTAACGCTAATAGCTTGCATTAATTGCGGGATAATAAAGAGCTTAGAGAACTAAAAGATTACTAATAAAAGATTAGTAACATAATGTTTGCTATAATTTATTCTTGTCTAGACATTTGTTTTATAATATCTAAGTTAAGTTAATATATAAGTAATTCTAGTATTTATTATAAAGCTACTATTAAACATCTCTTGCAGTACTTACGCTTTACAAAGAAGTTTCGAATCTGCTATAAAGCATAATCTGAGCCTGAGCAGGTTATTAAATATTTTGATTCTGATTTTGCTACTAATAAAGATAATAGATAATTAGTATCTGGTTTTATATTTAAGTTTGTAAAGGGGCTAATCTTATAGGCTAGCTGTAAGCAAAAATTAGTTATTACATTTATAATAAAAGCAGAATTAATAACACTAGTCCTTACGATAAAGCATACTATATAGTTGTTAAAATTCCTTATCGAAATCGGTTGTTCTAACTTCGTTAGAGCAAACGGTTAAACTATACTTATAAATAAGGATAACTAAGCGATAATCAAAATAATTAATAATAATCAAATCACTGAATAATCAAAACACATTAATATTAGCTGTCACTTTGTACGTGAACGCTCCGAGAACCAGGACATTAAGCTGCAGTACTGTTGAACAGACAAAATAGCTGCCGATGGCTGTACAAAAGGTTTATCAAGAGACAAGTTCGATACCTATCTACAGCTGCTCAGATTACGAGTCCTGAAGGATGATACTGCCAATATTGCCATCCAAATAGCACCACTGTCATCAACTCAGATTGGACTCGCGGCATCCAAGATTGATTAACCTAACAAGTTGTCACCCTTAATTAAGATAGTAATCATTCAGACCCTCTTCGCCATCTACAACTTCCTTGGCCTGATCCAACATTTTTCATCATGGCCCTGTGCATTTTGGTCCTGCTGTGTGGCAGGTCCTCTCTCTTGTTTTTGTTTATCGGTTCCCTCAATTGACGCACTACGGCGTCGCCACTTTTCTTTCTCTTACGGCTGGTCCGTGCTATCGCTACAATATTCCTCCTGGTTGGGTAAACAACAAAGGGCAGGGATGTTCAGCAATAGCATTTCATTCTTATTCTCCTGGCGCCGCCGTCACCTGCAACTCGTAGCCTGCTAGCCAGACGTCCGAGTGGGAGTGTCGAGTAGTACAGCTTAATGCTGGTACGGCTGTATGGTTAACGACCTCCTTGCAGGGCAGCGCGAGCTGCCGCAAGAGCCGAATCCCAAAGCGGCTTAGCGCCCGTATTTCCTGTGCCCTTGGCATAGGAAATCCCTTTTAGGTAGCTACTAGAAAGCCTAGATAGGAAAAACACAAAACTACAGAGTAAGAACTTCAACAAAAGAGACTAATATTTAGGCGTATTAGATACTAATTAGGAAGTTACTATATCTAGTATATAATATAAGGCTAGATATTAGTTTCTGTATTAGTTATTTAAGCTAGTAATATATAGATTTATATATAAGGCATCTTAAGGCTATAAGAAAAGTCTTATAATACCTTAAAGAGACACTAGATATAAGTCTCGAATTCAGAGTTAATTATATTATATAGAATACGTTATAAAGGGAGCTGCAGCTATATAGATATATAGATGCTAGTTTTATAAGAGATTTAGATAATAGAAAGTTGATAATTAGTTATTTATTCTTATTAAATAATGTAGCTATCTCTTAGATGTCTAAAAGGTAAGGGATAATATTAACATCTAGCATAAAAGCAGAATACCTAGTTATAAGAGCAGCAGCAAGACAGGCTATATGGATTTGACGCCTTCTTAACGAATTCGGCGCAGAGCAAGTGACAGTAACCCTCTGCGGAGACAACGAAGGCTGTTTGAAGCTGATACAGAACCCTGAGCAGCACGATTAGAAATTCAGACCTCCTAGGTATCAACGAAGGATATGCTCGCTGACGGACTGACTAAGGCACTCCCTAGGGACGCTTTTGTACGATTCCGCACCGAGATAGGCCTTGTTCGAATCAGAGAATGCTGATATAGCACCATTGGAGAGCGCTGTTGGTGCGCGCGCAGGGCAACAGGCGGACCGCAGGCAGGAGTGCAGGAGCAGGCGCGCCGCAGACAGATATTCGGACAGAGGGACAGTGCGAAGCAGCTGCTTGCAACAGCGCAACCTGTTGCTTGTGGTGCGTGCAGCTTGGGCAGCAGGGGGAGTGTTGAATTGCTGCCAAGCCGCTAGCATACTAGTGGTCACATGACTTGAGGCTATGTCTGTTTGGGCCTAGCGTCACTTACCAGCCACCGAGTAAGATTGCACTTGAACTTCGGATGGAAGTTGGATTCAACTTCTGAACGGTTCACCACATTAATCAGTTGATTGAGTGCAGACATCCATAGATAGCAGAAGCAGTTTAGCGTTACTTTTAACAAATATTAAAATTTTCTCAAGTAATCGGTTGATGGGATTTGCAGGCGCCAGAAACAAGAAAGCTCTACCGACTTTGAGGACGCTTATCTCTGCCACCACTATCCATATTGACTTCTCAAAATACAAAGGCATAATTGTTTCAGGCTTAATGTTTAATTTAATGAGATGCCGGGCCAATTCGTCAGAGCGAGCTCTGAGTAATGTATACAGCTTGCGCTTGTAGCTTGGCACTTACGCGTTGTTTAAAGAGGCATTAAAGACAAGTTGATACCGTTTCTAAAGAATTATTATGCTATTAAAGTATCTTAGTGGTATTGTATTGGCTCAGTAGATCTACAGACGAGATTTGCGGCTTAGTGTTAGAATCCCTACGTTTATAATACGTATCTGTTACGTACTAGCATGATGGTACAAGGTCCCCGCATGCAAAACGCACGAAACGCTCTTGTAACTGTTACGCCCTGTTATTTATGGCAGTGAGCATTGCTATACGAATTGAACGCCAAATGCTGTTTCTGAGCTGTTATAGTAATGCGCTTCTATAGCTATTAGTATAAGTAAATACTCCTCTTGATAGGAGTAACTTAATCAATTCAATTGGTATCTCTGTACGCTATTTGCTACATCCTCTAACAGGTTATGAGCCCGGCCTGCCTTCTACTCTATTAAGCGAAAGCTGTAATAGAAATCGATATTCGCCAGAGCCTCGCAGGCCTTATATTACTACTTTCGGCCTAGCCTCAAATTCTGTTGTACCGTATAGCCAAATTCGATCGCTATGGACTCCTCCTACGACTCCTCCTCCTACGAAAAGGCCTGTATCCCTCTTCTCAAGGGTACTGAGGACTATTTCTCATGGTCAAGAGTCATGAAAGCACGCCTAGATAGGCTAAAGGCGTGGAGTCCTATTGTTTCAGATCCTCCTGTTAATCGTGGCCGCACAAAAGCCCCTATAACTCTTGCTCGATTTCGAGAGTAATTCGATCAATTGGATCTTGACTTGGATACCAATGGATGGAATCAGCGCTAATGGGATGCTGCTTACGAGGACTACAAGGAAGAGATTAGGGAATTCAACGAGTGGCAAGATAAGGAGAAAATGGCCCTTTCTGAAATCATAGAACGGCTATCTCCTGCTGTTCTGACTCGAATGAACAGATACTCCACTCCAAATACCCTATGGGAAGCCCTTGAGCAGGCGTACGTAGCTCCTCTTATAACAGAGCAACTCCGAGCGCTCCAGAATCTCCTAAGCCTTCGACGCTCGCAGTATCCTGATATTCGTCAGTATACTACTGCCTACAAGACTGTGTACGACTATTTGATGTACAATCTACACTTCTCCTGGGATCTAACAACTCTTCTAACTCTTCTTCTTCTCTAGAGCGAAAATAACGACTCTAACTCCTCCTCTAATTAGTCGAAGTTCCTTGAGAAATACAAGAATGGAACACAACTTGCCGACCCTGAGGAGCTTTATACCACCCTCTACAGGCTTAGAGAAGATCCCAAGAAGGATACTAAGAAGCCCGCACTAACAGCGAACATTATGACAGGCAAGAGGAAGCGAAATGACACTCCTTAAGGTGGACGCTCTAAGCAATAGAGAACAATGTTAACCTGCTCTGAATGCAGCAAAACGCACGCTCTGAAGGAGGGCTAAGTCTGCTAGTACAAGCACCCAGAGAAGGCGCCAGAGGGATGGCAGAAGAAGCACCCTTACCTCCTTAACAAATGACAATCCACGGACAGAATAGAGAAGCTAATAGAGGACCCTCAAGCAGAGGGAGCTGACAAATCAGAGAGAGTTGACTATATGAGCTATATGGTTAACAGCTCTGAGCTCTCTTTAGCAGAAAATCAATGGATACTCGATAGTGGAGCAACGCACTATTTTACGCCTTATAAGGAGCTCCTAGCATGCTTTTCGCATGCTCCTATAATGGTATCCTCAGCAAATTCATCCAGCGAATCCACAGGCAGTGGCGAAATCAACCTATCTCTTAATAGTATAAATTTCGCGCTTAAGAATGTTATTTGCGTACCCTCTATCAAGGTCAATATTCTGTCTACTAACAAACTCTTAAGAGATCACGATATCTCTTATACAAATGCTGCAGGGCACTGCTTATATAAGCGAGGAGCTCTGCTAGCACGCGCAGATGACTCAAACGGCCTACTAATCATCTCTACAAGAGAAATGCCGCCGGTCTTCTACGCAGAATCAAAATCCAAGCCTATTTCTATGGAACTGGCTCACAGACGACTTGGGCACATAAGCAAGGCCCTTGTACACAAAACAATCAATTAAACAACTAGCATATTCATTAGAAAAGCCGACTATAGGGCTTGTGATAGCTGCGATGCAGAGCAGGCAACAAACAGGCGCTTAGAAACTCCGCTAGAAATAGTCTATTTAGATTTAATAGAGATGCCTATGCCCTCTCTTAATAATGAATTTCTATATCTCCTTATAATCACAGACAATTACTCTTAATATACGTGGTCCTATAGTCTCTATAAGAAGTCTATCAAAGCTATATAGCCTAAGTGGCTTGCCCTGATTAAGAAACAAATCTCAGGAGCTATACTTAAGAGGATCTGTACGAATAACGGCAGAGAATTCATTAAGATGAACAACGCTTAGGAATATTACGGTATAAAGGTGTAATACTCTATAGCCTATGCTTATAATTAAAACGGAGTGGCTAAACGCATAAATCAGGACATTCTAGTCTATATCCGAAGCGTTCTAGCAGAAACTAATCTACTATATAAGTTATGATACGAAATTGCTATAGTAATGACTTATCTCTGTACGATTCGGCCTTATAGACTCTTAAAAAAGACCCCCTACGAAATCCTGTATAACAGGAAGCCTTACCTCGCTTATCTAAGAGCTATTGGCTCTAGAATAACAGTATTAATCCCTAAAGAGGTTAGAGAGTATAAGTTATAAAGTGTTATAATTATAGAGCGGCTTGTAGGCTATAAAGGAACAAATTAATACCGAATTTAGGACCCTTAGATAGATAAAATTATCTAGGTAAGAGATGTTAAAATTAACGAATCTGATACTAGATACATTGAGGAACTATACAAGGCATCTGAACAGTCTAAGGGAACTCTTATAGCATCTATAGAAGCCGAAATGGCTCAGGATATATATAGAAACAGAGATAATAAAACAAACGCTAGTAGATTAAGCTCTGAAACTACGGTTTCGAGACCTGAACCTAATAAGGATCCTTAGCGTACCTCTTATATAGATTAAAACCCTACATCTACAGATATTAATAACCTTATAAATAACTATGCTGGCGTTAAGGGCGAATCAAGGTCTTATAAAGCGAAGGATGCAGAGTTTCGACTTGTAAATCCAAGGATAGATCAAGCGGGGATCTCTAAGCTAATATATCATCTAAGAAGGCATTTAAGACCTTTACAAAAGCTCTGTGAGAATCAAATACCTCTTGACGAAATCCCCTCTACGCACATTCTATTAGCGTTGACACTGGCCCTGTCAGACGCTCCTAGGTTATATAAGGAGGCAAAACAATATGCTGACCACCAAGAATAGATGGCTGCATCAGATAAGGAGCTACGCGCTCTAGAAAGTAATGAAACATGGCAAGTTCTACCCAAAACTGAGGTACCTGCTAACCAGAAGATACTCTGTGGCAGATACGTCTACGTATGAAAGCGTAATGGACGATACAAAGCTTGATGGGTAGTCAAAGGCTTTAAACAAGTTAAAGAAATTGACTACCAAGAGACCTTCGCCGCTATGGCACAAGCAGAGTCATATCGAACGCTTATAGCACTTGCTATGCTCAAGGGCTTCGGTATAGAAAGCCTTGATATTAATACAGCATTTCTATATAATAAAATAGACCACGAAATCTATATTGAATTGCCTCTGAATACTATACTTCCAAGAGGGTCAAAAGAGCCCTTCTGCAGCCTCTTTAAGAAGAGCCTTTATAGCCTTAAGCAAGCTCTGCAAATTTAGGCCAGAACGCTTTATTCAACGCTTAAAGAGTTCGGATTTAAGCAAATAGTTTATAAGCATTCTATCTTTTATAGAGATGACCTAATTATAGCTATCTATATAGACGATCTATTAATAATAAATCGAACTTCAGAAGTTATAGCTAAATTTAAGCGTAAGTTTAGAGAACGTTATAAGATTAAGGATATAGGCCCTGCAGAAGACTATCTCGGCATTCAGATCATACGGAATAGCGACTCTATTACCCTATCTTAGAAGAGCTATTTTAAGAAGGTTCTACACTGTTTTAGCATAAATAACGCAAATCCGTGATCTACGCCTATACAGGATAGTACTCAAATCCCTATAGATATAAATAATGATAATCTGCTACCTCTAAGTAGCAAGCTTAAGTATCAATTAATTATTAGAAGCCTTACATACAGAATACAGGGCACTTAGCCTGATCTAGCGTATCCTGTATCGCTATTAAGTTGATTTCTAGCTAGGCTAAAGGCTATCTATATAGGTATAGCTAAGGGGGTCCTTTGATATATCTGCGGAACGCTTAGCTATAGCCTTAAATTCTCTAGAATAGGGAATTTAGAGCCTATCTTTTATACGGATTCAGACTTCGCGGGCCCTACTCTGCAAGATAGGATGAAATTAATCTCTGGCTACGTAGGATACCTTGCTGGCGCGCCAATCATTTGGTCCTCAAAGCGTCAAACAGCAACAGCGACCTCTAGCACAGAAGCAGAGTATATCGGCCAATTCAACGCTATGAAGCATATGGTCCATATCGGTCACTTTCTAACGGAACTCTCTATCCCTTATAGCACTCCAATAACGCTATTTGCGGACAATCAGGGCGCTCAAGCAACTGCACGAAATCCAGAGTACCACAGCAGGCTCAAGCACATTGCTATAGCGTACCACTATCAAAGAGAATTAGTAGAAGAAGGACTCATCCAGCTGAAGCATCTTCCGACGGAGGATATGGCCGCCGACGGCCTCACAAAGCCACTTCCGAGAGTCAAATTCAATCGGTTCATAGAACTGCTGCAGCTCAACACCAAGCCAGCTATCTAGAATCCGAAAAGGGTAATCCCCAGACCTCGTACGACTATGGCACTTGCACAGCAAAAAGAGACGCTCTTTCCTATTTTCTCCCACAGGGTTTTTCTAGGTTTTATTGAGGCTCTTGCTGACGAAACAAAGCTCACCTTCTGATACTCTATACAGAGTCCCAAACGGGTAATTCAGAATACTACAATGCTCCCTGAGAGGGAGTGTTAGAATCCCTGCGTTTATGATACGTATCTGTTACGTACTAGCATGATGGTACAAGGTCCCCGCATGCAAAACGCACGAAACGCTCTTGTAACTGTTACGCCCTGTTATTTATGGCAGTGAGCATTGCTATACGAATTGAACGCCAAATGCTGTTTCTGAGCTGTTACAGTAATGCGCTTCTATAGCTATTAGTATGAGCAAATACTCCTCTTGATAGGAATAACTCAATCAATTCAATTGGTATCTCCGTACGCTATTTGCTACATCCTCTAACACTTAGGACCTGCTAAGACGCATTCTATGACCTTCCGGGATGTGCACTCATTGCTTCGGACTTGCACTTCTGAGAAACTAGGTAAGTGATCCTGCACATTAGCAGGTTTTTGCATTGTGTAACATCTGCCATTTCGCATACTGAGTAAAACCGTCAGTGAATAGTCCCGGATGGGACCGGGTCGAGTTGGTAGCATACCTGATTAGGGTTCAAGCCTGCGTCCAGCGCAGCTATATCGGAATTATTCGAGCTAGATAGAGATATCTTCGCCTTCTACAGATTAAGCACTATGTCAAAACTCGCTTGCCCCAAGAATAGCTGATCCAAAGCCTGTCTTTTGGCAACTTCGGATCTTGTAGCACGCAGGACATTCGCCGCCCATTGCTTGACCTGACAACTCGAGATGAAGGTGGATACTTTCAGTGCTGACATCTGAGCGGGTTTGATAGTCTAGATATTTTTGGTTGCTAAGGGTCGTGTAAGATGCCACAAAAAAACATCACCTTCGCCTGTATAAGCTCTGAGAAGAATAGCTTAAGCTGTTGACAAGACTCCGAAAATATTTTTTGCTTCGTCTTTGCAGAAGCGCCCAACTTTGGTAATGCTTGCCAAAGTAATGCCAGGGGATTATGTCCGCATCTGGACGGTCTTACTACCGCCGAGATAAGGGAAGTAGCACGGGGTAATCTTTTGCATTTTTAATGCGAGGAGTTCATTAATATTTAAGTGGTGGGAGGCCTCGAGTTGGGTAGAATCAGTCTCGACCTGGAGGAAAAGAGACCTCAAATTGTGTGTTTGAGGCGTATTGTGCAAAGTAATTTTCTATGAGCATAAACCGAGAAGTTGTTATACACTATATTATAAGCTGATCTAACGACATTTTATGGCTCAAGGATGGTTGTAAATTCTGATACTGCTGTGCAGTCCTTGAATGCCTCCATGGCAATTCGGCCTAGAGGGTTTTATCTTGACTCTTTCTATACATGATAATGCCGAGTGATCAAGGGCGAAGATGTCTGTTGCTAAGATGCTTGCAGCAGATGTACATAAGCCCGAGCGTGTTCAGAGGACTTAGTCGCACTTTTCAGGGGGGGGGAATCAAGTTGCATTCCTCAAGCTACCGCAGTTTGTAATTATCTGATCGAGAAATTCGCTAAATAATGTTTATCGTCAATACTTATACAGATTGCTTGGTAGAACGATGTTATGCTGGCCGGCCGCTTGGCCTTTACTAGCTCATAGGAGGAATAGTAATTTTGGGGGGCAGTAAATGTTGTACAGTTGTGTGATAACAGAGTAAGTGAAACCAGCCCTCTCCGTCGAGGGTTTGTTTTAAGTATTTGTTTCTTGGCGGACTCATCCGAGTGGTCTGAAAGAACAACTCTGGCGGTGCGCTGGCTGCCAGGCTATGTTTACACTCCAGATCGTAATGGACATGAGGTACTAGTACGTGTCGAATTCGCGTAAGGGACTCTCATCAGGGCGCATATCACGTACATGAGTAAATCCTTTGTTACAATTGAGTATGAAGAATTTTACTTGGGACGAAGACGGTGGAATTGACCAGAAGGGAGACAGCTTCACTGCTGACGGCGATTCTTCGAATATCACAATAATAAGCTGATTTATTTCCACAGCAGAGGTGATAGACATGACTTCCTCAAACGACCTATATTTCTTCGAGCCGTCACATTCTCACAACTCCGAAGACATACTTTTAGAGTTTGGAAGGGATATAATATTTGTTGCAGTCAATTTGTTAAGCAATTTCCCAGTCCCATAACTAACCCTTTGAGTTATAGTCTCGGAACCCGCCTTTCTTCAACTACTACGTATGTGAATCGGGTCATTTCTGCTCTCTCACATTACTACCCTCATCATTCATCTGAACCTATGCTACTCCACAGTTGCTGGCCTCTTATCCGACCATTCTCTGTCGAATCTACCTCGCTCACATCTACAAGGACAAGCATGATAGCGCTAGCAAGGCCTACGATAACGAAGGTCTATCCGAACCGCACATCTTCGAGGACATCTTTGCTAAATATGGCCGCAGTTTGGAAAGGAGATCTTACAATCACTGATTTTTTATCATTGTGAAATGCCCCAAAGCTGGTATCCGACTTTTGGGCTGGGCTACCACAGCGCTCGAGTTTAATTAATCCTCTCCGCCCAAACAAGCCAATGCTGCCAGACTCTTTCCTACAGGGATGGCAGCGTATCTTCTACGGTGCGCCCGATGATGGGAAAGAAGATGTCCAAGGAGTCTATAATGGAAGTATTTTCTACAAGGCCGACGAATACGCGGCCAAGCAGGAGGCTGAACGAAATATCAATTCGCATATGACCCAGCCTTCTTCATCGTTCTGGTCCCCTATGCCACTGCGTTAACCTTGGGAGTCAAGGTCAAGGAGCTATTCTACAAAATTCAAAGGACATTCCCAGAATGGCGGATATTGGTTCTCTCCTTGCCACAGCCACACAAGACCTCTATTTGGCTCAACGAGACCTCTTGCAATCTTATTGTTTACCTTGTACGTGATGATAATGGCCCTGTACTTGGGCAACACTTGGGTGGCGGTGGCACAGTACTAGGTACGGATATTCAATTACATTAAACTGCGGTGAATTTATATTGAGCGTAAGGGCCGTAGAACAACTATGAACAAGTTGTGACACGACCCTAAGATAAGACACTCTTTCCATATGCAAACATTCGTAGAACACATTGAAAAGGCACCAGGCCTCTCTCTCATACTAATTGTCAACGTTCCCTCCGAAAGCGGAAACCTAGCAAGTCCAGTCGGATGAACGGTTCGCGCGTACCCTCGATTGGGCCCTATCGAAGATAGACTGGGGATCATGACATTGGTATACATAAAGGAAGAAGCAAAGTAACCAACATCGAGTTCACGCCCAGGCTTTTCCGCGGACTGAACTGGGTTATCTCTGTGACGTGCCGTTGCTGTAAGTGGATCCAGAGAGCGGTCCGAAGGAAGTAGTATATTTAGAGTGACGGAATTGTTGATTGGGACGCCTGGCGAATAGACGTAGGGGTCACTGAAGATCTGGGTCGGTGTCATTTGTCAGCAAACGGCGCGCCTTCATGCGCTATGGAAATTTGATCATACCCAATAAACTGCTCACCTGCACCGATAATATCCATCTCGAACGAAGTGAAATCGACGTCAAGGCCGGCGAATATGCTAGCAGGTAGCTCGACCTGTTCCAGTGATACATAGCTGTATCTATGCGTATTGAGGTGGTCGACGCTGGGAGCCTCGTCATCCATATTCCCCCAGAGGCTTGAATAATCCACAGAGCTTGGAGGGGTTTCCCTGGTGTGAGCGCTTTCTGAATGACTGTGGGGTAGAAGGGATGTGTCTGTCGATCCACACATCTCTTCAACACCGAAAGGATTTGGAGAAGCAGCCCGCATAGGTAAGGGAGTGACTGCATGCTGATCTGGTGGCGCTACTGAACCAAAGGGAAAGAAAGAGCTGTCAGATAAAACGCTGGATTGGGAAGCCGGGAAATTTCCGGGTGGCGAGGTACGATTCGAGGATGTTGGCCCCCTAGGAAGGTATGATCCTTTGCTCTCATGGCATGGCTGAGAAGCTGCACCGCCGTGGTCCCCTGAGCGAACAAGCTTAGACCTCTGCATTCCAGGTTTGCTGATGTTACCTTCAGCGATATTCACTTTGCTATGCCACTGATTCTTCGCCTTGCGCCCCGGACCAAGCTTCGAACTGGAAAGCGAGCCAGGCTTTGGATGTGATGGATCACACTGGTATGGTCATATTAGTACAACTGTGAGGCAGAAGCACCAGGAATGATCACCTTCCGGTGCCCATGGCGACATATGTCGCACGGACCGCCCCGTCTGCGAATCCTCTGGCTTGAGGCCTTTTCTTCCTTGGACTGTCGTCTTTTGGCTCTTGATGCCGTTAGCTGTTGGCCCGTCCTTGAATCGAAATCAAACTGTGTACCACCGGGAAGGGACCTTGCTACATGTGGCTGAGCACTTGGCGGCGGTTTTGGGGATGGGGCGGCACTAGGGTCAGAGCTCCAACAGTCCGAAGCAGCAATGAACGTGGATGGGTTAGATTTGCTGGCGGCGAAACTTGCCAAACCTTCGAAATTCTCATCGGCGGTATGTTCATATATATTTCCAGGCAAGCCATTCAGTTTCTGGTGCTGTGTAATGGTTCCAACATTAGCATCATCATCCTGTGCTTTTAGGATTGAACCATACCCCTCGTGATGGGGATGAGTATTTTTGACCAAAATTGGGCTTGAAATGGGATGATGGCCCAGAGAGCTCCAAGGATCATCATGGTCCAAACCTGGAGGGAATTCCTGTAGCGGCTGCTGCCATTTCTCAAGGTTTCCATTCCATGTCGCGACTGGCACAGGGGTCACATTATCTGGCATGCACAGTGCATCTTCCGCCGAAAATGAAGCGCTCCATGGTTGGCATGACTCGGAAAAACTAACACAACGGACCAAGATTGGAAGATGATGCTGTTGGAGCACTTGACTGGTTTGCACAGGGATGGACACGCGAGGATTAGATTCTCGAAAACTCTCCGGGATCAGGAATGCACGGTTTTGACAGCCCGCTCCCTGCACAGGGATTTTGGAGGGAGTCATATATCCAGATGATGAAGGAAAGTCATTCGGGCCAACCTGTTCAAATTGAACATTCTCCACTGGCGAGACAGACTGATCATCTGCTTGCGCAGAATTGTACATCTCCATGTCCGGAGGTAGGGGACTCCCCAAGTTGACCGATGGTAACAGATCATTATCATGTCGAGCAATTCCAATCGATCTCTCGCCGGTGAGAGTGGTGCAGCTGGTACATCCTTGTCCTTGCTTATTGGGCACGGCCTTCGATGCATTACCAATAGCGCCGGTCATGGTAGCCTTCTATGCGGACGTTCGCTAGGTGAGGTGGCGCTCAACCTTTCTGTCCATGATCAGCCCGATGGAAATCCACTCCTTGAGGTCCCACGAATAATACCGGAGACAATACAGTGGAGGAGTCAAGGATAGATTATGAAATCTACCCAATGAACATGTCAGGAAGTCCGGAGGAGTATGCGGGCGCCCTTCTTTGTAGGTAGCGCCTGGGACACGACTGCGCTCTTGGAAGCTGGACCAAGTACTGTTGACCTTGTTTTGTCCTTTGCGGAAGCGGAGACAAGTTTGCCTGGCAAGCTGTCCACAGTGTGATTATGAAGACCAAAGCGCGCTTAGGGTAGTCAGGTCAAGGAGCCAGTTTTTGGGAATTGCTCCGATATCTGTGTTTGAAAGGAGTTCGAAACAAGGGAATCCGGTGACTGATGTCGTTAGCATGGACCTCATGAAGCAGAATAAACTCAATCAAGGAGTGGTACTTTCTTGCTGTAGATATCGGCGCGCATAGGAGAGGGTGTTGAACAGTTTGTACTTGGCTCGTTGAGACGAATGAGGTGAGACGGGAGCGAGGAGAAGCGAGGAATTCGGCATAGATATGGAGAGTCGAGGCAACGCTGTGACGGCACATAGGTGCCAGCACAAGGTGCATTCATATTGCGGAATCCCAAAAGGGATGCGTCGAGCGGTACTTTAGTTGGTAGAGACTGATTGGCGAACATTGCGGCTGCTCATTAGTCGAAGTGAGGAGATTGCTGCCCGAAAAGAGTGTGGCCAACCAGCGGTAGTGTTGGCCGCACTTCATTCAGGTTTTCTTCAAACAAAGAGAGAGATATTGTGGTAAGGCACACTGAAGAGTAGTGGTACTTGAGCTCTGCCGCTGAGCTTGCGTAATTGAAAGCGGGCACTTTCAAACGTCCTGGGGAAGTCGCTCTGCTTATCTAGCTTGGCACCAGCCCCGAGTCTCCGAATTTCTCCTTGCTACCAAACTACTGGCTAGGCTTCGCAGTTGCGCCGTGTTCCGAACATCCGGGTATGATTGACAATGGTAGCTACGAATTCTCGATGCCACCCCCAAAAACCCTAGTCAACCCAATCAATTGGATACCCGAATAGCGGCAGGACTTGGACCCGGATGTACCAGATATGGTTCCGATCTCGCTGTTTCACTGGTAGGCGACACTTGTCAACGATTCTTTTGCATAATGGTGGGATGGAAATTTCGTATTTGCAGGCGGCTTGGGCCTGCGATGATGCGGAGTGCCGTAGTGCCTTGACACCAGTCCATCTAGCCTTCTTGCGAAGGAGACATCTTCGAAGTTCGAAGTCTGTCCTACCAGGCAGCTTTAGTAGACCCAAAGTACTCCGTAATCTGCAACACGATGGGGTGCACGCTGCTATCAAGTTGAACTCCATCAAAATCGCAATCTGCCATGTATCGTTGAATGCTGTCTGTCTGGTCATAGTCTTTGATTCTTTGCTTGAACATATCTTACGGCTATCTCATGAGACTGTCATCCTACCAAAATATAACAATTTGTACCAATAGACTGTCTTTCATTCTACTGGAATGCTTGCAGCTGTTGGCGGCAGCACTAAAGTCTTCAGGATGCATGCACCCCTGGTCTCCTCTCTGCATGCGTGTGCGCATTGCTTAGTTGACTCTGGCTTTGACAGCTATGGACGGTAGAACAAGCAACGCTGGCAGAAATGACAGTGAACTGATGAGCGGTTTTCTTCGACTTGGCTGTGCTTACTTGCTTCGCCTATGCCGTCGTCTTTCCGGTATCGTCACGTTGAAGCTCCCGTTCGACTAATACTATAACCGCGAGCCACTCTACAGACGCATGGCCATCCTTCAGAGATCATCCTAACCGACCATCATATGATCAGCCATTGCCAGGCTCTTAACACTCAGCACAAACCTGGGCCTGGTCATCTCATGCCTTCTGCGCAAATAGACAAGGCTTCAATATCGCAGAATCCTCCAGAAGGCGCCCATCATAACGCGCAGACGGTATCTCGAGATGACAGAGAACTCCTGGATGACTCCGAATCTCCCGCTGCCCGCCAGGATCCCCACAATATCAGATTCTGCAATCAGCTTAGCTCCATCCCTTCCACCATACCAGCTACTCTAGGGTATCCGTTACCGCTCGCCGAACCACCACTATGGACAGAGCAAGGGCCAGAAACAACATCGAAAGGGGAGCGAAACCTTCTTCACGATCAACAGTTCGACTTTGCTGGACTTCCTCGAAGAGATAGTCACTCATCGGGTACCTCTCGCAAGCGCATGAGCGTGCGGGGGTCAGGCATAAGCATAGGCTTTGGACGGACAAGATATCGAGATGAGGAGTCTACGCTCTCCCCGACAGCAACCTACGAAGCATTCGAAAGAACTGCTCTACTTGGGAGTCTAGGACCACCGGAAGGAGATGAAAGCACCCCAGAAAACACGAACAAAAGATGGCAGAATGCGACAGGTCCTACGAAGAATCAAACGGATTGGCAGCGGGAGGCAAAAGTACTGGCAAAATACTCGCGCTCGCTGATCCTGACATGTATGCTACAGTATTCGCTGCCAATGGCCAGCATCTTCTCGGTTGGACACATTGGCAAAATTGAACTTGGGGCTGTCTCTCTAGCCAGCATGACGGCCAATATCACCGGATACGCAGTGTACCAGGGTCTGGCAACCAGCCTAGACACATTATGCGCCCAGGCGTACGGTTCAGGGAACAAAGTCCTTGTGGGGTTGCAAATGCAAAGGATGATTTATTTCCTCTGGGTCATGACGATTCCCATAGGAATCATCTGGCTAGCTGGAACGCAAATATTGGAGGCCATTGTTCCAGAGAAGGAAACTGCTGCTTTGGCTGGATTATACCTAAAGATCGTACTTTTGGGGGCACCTGGAATTGCAGTCTTTGAGAGCGGAAAGAGGTTTGCACAAGCCCAGGGTCTCTTTTCGGCCACACTATACGTGCTTTTAGTTTGTGCGCCGCTGAATGTGTTTCTCAATTGGCTCTTCGTTTGGGTAAGTGCTTGGCGCTCATCAAAAATAAATGGGTTACTGACAGTGCACCAGCAACTTGGCTGGGGCTTTGTCGGAGCTCCTATCGCAGTAGCTTCGACCGCGAACCTGATGCCAATATGTCTCTTCCTGTACATCCGCTTCGTGGATGGCATGGAATGTTGGGGTGGATTGTCCAGGGAGGCCTTCAAGAATTGGGGACCCATGGTCCGGCTCGCCCTTCCTGGGCTGATCATGGTAATGGCTGAGTATCTGGCTTTTGAATTTCTAACGCTGGCTGCTAGTTGGATATCAACAACACACTTGGCGGCTCAGAGTGTGCTCAGCATGCTCGTGGTCTTGGCATGCCAGTTATCTTTCCCCTTATCGATATCTGCCTCGACTCGTATTGCCAATCTCATTGGTGCCACACTCTCCAACACAGCCCAAGTGACCGCCAGGGTCTCGTTGATAGCGGCATGCTGTGTCGGAGTATGTAACATGGTCATCCTAAACAGTCTCAGACATCGCATACCATGGATTCTCACCAATGACACGGACGTTGCCGAGTTAGTAGCCAGGGTGCTCCCCCTCTGCGCAGCAATGCAGTTACTCGATGCCTTAGCTGCAAACTGCAGCGGCATTCTGCGGGGCCTAGGAAAGCAGGCGATCGGAGGCTGGGTTGCCCTCTTTAGCTACTACGCGATCGGGCTACCAATCTCGTTAGGAACAGGGTTTGGGTTGCATTGGGACTTGTATGGGTTTTGGGCTGTGAGTAGCCACGGATCCTTTCCCTTGTAGCAAAGCTGACTTCTAGGACAGGGTTCAGCGATCGGACTTGTTTTGGTGGTTGCTATTGAAGGATGGTACATTCACAAGACTAGCTGGGAGAAGGCAGTGGAGAGCGCTATGAAGAGAAACACCATGGGATGATCGGAATGTGTCTGCTGCCTCCTATTGCTGAAAGTTTTACAGTCAACTCGAACAATAACCATCCATGTTCCGTTTGTCCGAATATTCCCATGACCAACGCGCTGTATCATTATCCACCGTAAAGATGCACAACGTTTCGAAAGGGTCGCTTCCTCTCATGCAAGTTGTGGTTATGCAGCTGGTCTCGAGAAGCCGCATTACTTCTTCGCACGGATAGCAACCAAGTTCCAAACGACTTCAAGCAGACACTACAATAGTCGTCCAACGTAACCTGATAGGGAAAGAACTGTAATTGAAGATAACCACCCAGAGACTCGAACAAGTGACTAAAGTTTACTGCATTGAGAAGAGGGGGAAAGGCTCTGTCTGCCCCTCTCACTAAAACTTTCGTGCGATGGCTTCTGGTCGGCAGCAGCTAAGTAGCTGCTATTGCATCTTACATTGGTTTCCCGTTGAAGCCAGGAAGTAGCATTCTGCAGCATGGGCCAGACGGAATGAGACAGTTTGCACCTGCAGTTCAATGGTTGTGCTTTCAGATTTCTCATCACATCAGTTAAGGTTATGGTGGCAAGCGGAGGCGGATGGATCGACATCATGACCCAACGTAGTAGATCAGATCTAGATTGGTGAGATTCCAGATTTAGAATTTTAATGACAGATACTTGTGTACTTAGTATCGTTGTAGGATTGATACAGCTACACGGAATTTTGCAGAAGTAGGAGATTACTAGTACTGCTAAGTGGTATGTACGTAAATGTCATTCACCACTATTTTAGACTCGTGGCATGCAGTCCTGACTATCACAAACATGCCAGGAACGAGCTTTGTGGGTGCACCACTGCTAACTAGTGTGTAGGGCATATTACCATTTCAGGATTCTTCGTCGATCAATTTCTGATCTAGTAATGCATGATACGCTGTAATTCTGTAGTTTACCCCACACTAGGTACGGGTATCGATGTGGATCCTTCCGTGAATATGCATCTTAGCCAGGCCAGACCGACCGCCAAAACTCGGCTTCGGCCAACAGCAGCATATCCTTCCCGGGGCGAGCAACGAGCTTCGGCATCCTCGTCTTTGCAGGCCAGTGGTCATGGTTGGGCTTGGTGCTGAAAACAGCACCTTTTCGAAAAAGACATGTTTTCTGACAGGGATTCCGGACATGCTACGGCTGGGATCGGTTATTCTTGATGAGGGGCATCAGAAGCTCTTAGTATTCTCCTGAGTATCCATTAAAGTTCCAGGTCGCCCTCCTCTGTTCTGTGCCCCCTACAGAGGTACTTCCGATGCATCCACTAGGGGAATCTGAGATCCAGCATGGTTCGTACAAGATCAAGCGGTCCACTGGCGAGCCTGTCCCATTAGAAATCCATCCCAATTTGTTCAAGTTCTCTAATCTCATTTCTTGGGCTTTATGGTTTCTCTACATCACTGCTGAATTCCATCTCGCATGGTCAGTGCAGGTCGGCACGCCTAAAATAATATGGCGAATGTGGATTATACTCTGGGCGGAGGTGTGCTTGTCCTTCCAGGAGGTAGTTCTTGCCATCAACACAATCTTGGCTCTCTTTGGTGCTAGTGACACTCGTGTTCGCCCATGCTATCGACTGGTGGGCAGCTCCGCTCCCACTGTCGATGTCTTTATTCCATGCTGTGGAGAGGCTATTGATGTAATCATCGATACAGCCGCGGCGGCAGCTGCACAAGACTTTCCCTCGCAGCGATTTCGGGTTTTCGTTCTTGATGATGGCCACGACCAAGGGCTTCGACAAGCGGTGGACGTGTTGAGCAAGCAGTCCGCAGAAAAGAACGGTCCAGTTCTGTGTTATCTATCTAGAGACCTAAGACCTGGTGACCAGTCCTACTTTAAGGCGGGAAACCTTCGATTCGGCATCGAGCAGACGCAGCGCTTGGGTAGCTCGGATTATCTCGCCTCTCTCGATGCTGACATGATTCCGGAGCCTGACTGGCTGAGAAGGATGGTACCCCATTTGATCTTGGACGACGCGGTGGCCCTAGCATGCCCTCCCCAGGTACTTGAAATGCATTGTAAAACCTCCAGTTGAAGTCCGAGCTAATGCGGTACTAAGCGCTACTACAATGTCCCCAGCACGGATCCATTAGGACAGCAGGCAGAATTTGACATCTGGTTTACGATATTCGAACCCTTAAACGACCGCCTAGACGCCGCCATGTGCACAGGATCCGGGTTTGTCGTTAAGAGAAGCGCCCTTAACGACATCGGAGGCTGGCCTTTGGCCCATGCAGGAGAAGATCTGATGTGCTCGGCTGCTTTGAGTAATGCCGGCTGGAAGGTTGCTTTTATTCGGGAAGACCTGCAACTTGGACTGGCTCCAGATTCGTTACGGGCTCATGTAAGACAGAGGATGCGTTGGGTAAGTCGTTTTTTCTTCCTGTCAAGACTGATTTGACCAGACCTCTTCATTGCTGATATTTCACAAACAGACAGTTGCTGGCATAGAAGTTCACAAGCAATTTGGATTCTATCTAGCAGGTTCGAGGTTCACCTCTCAGATGACCTGGGTCCAAAGAGGAGTTGGTGTCCTGCAAGCGCTTAGGGACTACGCCCATGTGACGAATGTTTTGGCACTCGTCTTGTTGCCAATCGCAATTCATCCCATTCCGCATGAGGAGTTTGCCGCCATGGCAACTGTCGAAGATCTTTTCTGGCTGCGGAGTATTTTTCCGGCAGCATTCCTAGCACATAAGATCAACAACTATATCATGTATGCGCATATTGGATCCCAACGCCTAGCGAGTTTTCAAAGTATGGATGTCTATTGCGCTCCTTGTAAGTTCGCTCTACCGAGGGCCACACAAGCACGGTAGCAGCATTGCTCTCTCTCTGGGCCTACGAAACTTTACCCAATAACTATTCCAGGTCCAGAACCCATTTCATAATCTACAAACTGACCTTCTCATCTCCCAAGACACCGCATCCCGCTGCCTCCTCTCCCTCTTACCGTCTACCCTCAGCCCTCCGACCTTCGAAGTCAGCGGCTCCATTCTGTCTCCGGCCAACGAGCGCTCCGCGCTCCGCCGCAAGCCGCTCCCTTACCGCCTCCTCACCCTCGACATGTTGATTTATTTCTCCTACATCATCTTCGCCTCCATCCCGCTCGGCCTTCGCTTCCTCGCTTTTACAAGCCCCGACCCAGCGGAATCCTCGGGTTCCGGCATCTTGTTCTTCCCCTTCATTGGGGCGCTCCTGAAGCTTCTCGACGCTATCCTAAAAGCAGCGGTGCCGTTGTGGTATATGCTCTATCCGCCGACAGTGCCGGAGAGAGACGAATTGATGGAGACGGATGAGAAGGGTTTGAGGCGTCCAAAGAATAGACGTAGCCAGAATTTGCGAGGTGAGGATAGGGGTTGGCTGGGGATGGATGTCCTGGAGGTGGGGTTTGTCTGCTGGTGGTTTTGGTGGTAAGCTATTGCCAAGTATAGGATTTGCGAGGTTGCATCGTAGAGGAAAGGGGGATTGAACAACTTGGATAAATGTATGGGCTGTAGAAAGAGTTCCTTTTATCAACACCTTCCCAAGCATGTTCCAAACGTATGCGGAAGACCTCTAGAGCCACCCGAATTTTTGCCGAGTCAGAAAATCGGGATGCCTCTCTACGAGAATCACGCACCATGTGTGATGAAATGTAGTAAAGGATCGAGCGGACCACTCGTCCTGCGTGCGGGTCCTGCAACACTGATAGTGCCCCTTATGTTAAAAAGCAATCTAAGGTGCTATAAAGGCATCTACCCTCTTCACCTTGTGCAAAATCTTCTATAACAAATTATCATTCACGGAGACTTCTGAGGACTTGGCAAAAACCCAACCTCAATCAATCGCTTCACATTGCTTCTGATGACCTCCTTCATTCCCTCACTGTCCACGCCTACGGGCATCTCCCGCGAACCTATGGTCCCTCCGTCCCTTTCCAATACATGAATAAGTGGGAAGAGAAGGTGTTCTTCGCGCTTCTTCATGATCGCTCCTTTCAACCGTCCCATCCATTCATCATAACCCAGCCTTTCTAAGTCGTAGCCAAAATCCCGTGCCAGCATTTCCCACAACTCCGCGAAGCGAAGGCCCTCCAACACCTTCTCTACACGACCGGAGTGATGGCTAGCAGCGTCATTGCAGATGCTGGAGACAACACGACGAGCCACGCAATCTACGTCGGCAATCAGGAGCCAATGTGCCGCCTCGTCATGGTTGTACGCTCCAATCTCCACGCAGCCCGCGATAAGGCGCCAAATGAAATCGGTCTGGTTAGCAATGCCGGCTTGGCGGGAACCGACAACGTACCCAGGCTTGATTGTGGAGAGGCACTTAGATTGGAAGTAAGTATGATCAACGCAGTTCCGCACGAGCTGCTCGGATACGTATTTCGTCTGGGCATAACCGTCGGCTTGATCGATATGATTAGCTGCATCGCTGCGGTGAGACTCAGGATCTTCCTCATTGTCCGGTTTAATGCTGGGCTTTCTGCCACCAGAAACAAAGACGAAGGATGAAATATTGGCCGCCTGCGCCGTGATCTTAAGGAGCTCGGATGTTGGATGGACATTCGTAGCTTTAAGGGTGAGAAAGTCGGAGCTGTAGTGTACCTTTGCGCCGTTGTGGATGATGGCGTGAATATGTAAGTCCTCTCGACTTGTTGTTCCGCAAAGACAATCCAACTGCCGGCTGTCTAGTCCAAGATCGTCTTCTGTGAGGTCGCCCCGCCATACTTGAATTCTAGAGCCATAACAGTCTTGCCACCAGCCGGTTCTGATGCCGGTCTCCTTGACGCGCTGGAACCCTGCGGATTCCGTGGCGCATCGTACCAGGCAGAAGATTCGCAAATCTGGTTTCGCCACGAGCTGTTGAAGGATAGCCGAGCCTAGGTATCCAGAAGCGCCGGTGAGAAACACATTTCGAATGGCCACTGAGGCGGCTGAATCACCATTCGAGCCTTGCGGTTTGATGTCCCGGAACAATTTCTCGCTCCAGATTGCGACCTCTTGAGCAACGTTGACGGTTGTATGTATGGTAGAAGCGGTAGACGAGTCATTGCGATGATCAATCAAATATGCTAGGTCGCGAATGGTTGTTGTTGAGTTCAACAGCTGATGCATTGGTATTCTGATCCCAAATTCCTTCTGCATAAAGATTGAAAGAGAGATGATTTGGATCGAGTCGATACCACTTTTCTGAAGAACAAAGTCATGCCTCTTCAGCATTGACTCCCTGGCTTCGTCTTTGCGTGCCACTAGTTCCACGATTTTGGCACTGAGGAGGTTTGCTGTAGCTTCGCCAGGATCGAGGAGCGAAGCTCGTAGATCATTCAGTGTGGCCGATACCACCTCAGAAGGTCTTGATGTCATGTTCGTGAGCCATTGGTCCACCAGCTTCCGGTTTATCTTCAGAGACGGTACGAATGGCATATTGTCGACCACAATGCATACTGTCGGAATCATGTAGCCTGGCAGAGCTCCGACAAGATTTCGTCGAACAGCCTCTATAGATAGAGACTGATCCAGCGCAATAGATATGGGTTTGCTCAGAACACGCGAAGATTCTGTGCTACGCATTTGCACCACGGAAACTAGCTCTCCGGCAAAGCACCCTCGCTCGGGTCGGGTCACCATCGAGACGGCCACTCCTGGGATGGATGCTATATGGTACTCGACCTCACCGGGTTCGATCCGCTGTCCTCGAAGCTTGATTTGGGTGTCCTTCCTGCCAACAAAGTCGTACGCCCCATCAAATAAATTCGTATTATATCTGAGGAGATCTCCCGTCCTATAAAAGCGTCCACACTTGAGCCCCATTTGATCTGCCCAATCAAGGTTTTCAAGGAAGCATGATCGGGTTTTGACTTCATCATTGAGATAACTGCGTGCCAAACTTGGGCCAGCCACTACCAACTCGCCAACTGCCCCAATAGGCACGAGACAATGTGGGTTGTCTGGGTCCACAAGCCAGCATGAGGAATTTGGAAGTGGATAACCAACAGTCTCTGGAGAAGTTCTAGAATGCATGTGCATGATGAGGCATATACCGACCTCTGCGGGCCCGTAAATCTGGATGAGCGAGACTCTTTCTGCCCACCTTTGAATACGATCTTGAGGAAGAGCCTCGCCACCAATTGCAAGTGTCTTGAGAGTCGGAACATCAGATGGCTCAATCAAGCCTGCAAAGGACGGTGTCAGAATAGCGTAATCTGCTTTCATACTGTTGATCACACCAACGATGTTGCTCCTGCGGTCTTCTTCAGACGGAATACATATGCAGCCACCAAAGATCAATGTTGTGAAAATGTCTATAATTGCAACATCGAAGGTGTGAGCGGCGAACTGCAATACGCGTGCGCCATGGTAGCCCATTGCTTCTCCATGTGTTATGGCATGCGTGCAGATTGCTCCATGCTCGTGGATCATCCCCTTGGGTTTGCCGGTTGAGCCGGAAGTGAAAAGAACGAAGATAGGGTCCTTAGGCCCAACACTGGCAGCACAGAAGCCTTTGGTTTCGTTACTCTGACCTCTGGAGACCGTCTTTGCGTTTACCACTATCACATGCTCGGCCAAACCCTGCATGCTGGATGCAAACAAGTCTGAGGTAACCACCACAGTTGCATTTATGCTGTTCAGAATCTCCTTGAGCCGCGCTCTCGGGTGTGCTGGGTCGAGCGGAACAAATGCACCACCAGCTTTCAAGATGGCGAATGTGGCGACCACCGTCCAGAGACTTTTCTCATAAGCGAAAGGTACATAGGTTCCGGGGCCGACACCAGCTCGAACTAGTTGCTGGGCGGCAATTGACGAAAGTGCATTGAGCTGAGCATAAGTCACGGTGCCATCCCAGGCACAGATAGCCTCGGAAGATGGTATCGCTCGCGCGACGGATTCAACCAGGTAGTGCATGCAGGTCATTTGAGCGTAGGGGACCTTGACATTCCACGATATCATCTTCTCTTTATCGTCATCACTGACGAAATCTGTTTTGTCGATGGTAAGCCCGGGGTCTGAAACTACTTTCTCTATGATATTTCGAAGCGTATTTGCCACGGCTTGAGCGTATTGCCTGGAAATTGCAGGACAACGATAGCTCATGGAAACATGGATCGACGACTCTATGGCCTCCGAATTCAATATAAAGTCGAACTACAGTCGGACAGTCAGCATCTTGAACTTGTCTGCATCTGGTCATGTATCAACAAGGTCAAGAGCGTCACTTACACCATCATCAAGGATATCTTCGTGCGCCAGCTGAACGTTCCCCCCCTTCGAGTAGCCATCTATGAGGGGCGCAGAGCTCAACAGATTGAATGCCGTACTGATCTGAGTCTTTTTCAGACCCGCTCTGGATATCCGACAGACGCTTGCACGAACATCTTGGATTAGACACCCGTCGAAGATGTCATATCGTAGGACCAAAGCTTCGGCGTCTCCTTGCAATAGTATATCATCGGTGAAGTTCCCGAGATACTTAGGACCTTTAGAACCGAGAAGCACCGCAAAAGAAACAATGCTCCTCCGAAAATAACTGCGTAATAGGATTGCCCAAGCAGCTAGTACTACTTCATCTAATGGCCCAAAGCTCTTCCCCGAACTCGCACGGAATCTTGAATGATCGGAGACGCTTATCGTCTCATAGTGATGACTTGTCACGTCTCTCCTAGCAGAGGTAGGAAAATGGCATTGCTGAAGGATAAGATCCTCCGATGTTTCTTTTGTGACCAGATGCATGGTTGAACCCAGAGGGGAAGTCTTAACGTCAGAGAAGAAAAGGCCATCTTCCCTCGCAGAAAGAAGTTGAAAGCCAGATCCTCGATTGAGAGCATTGGAGCAAATCAGCTGACTTGCCGCATCGAGAAGCAGATCAAGCATAATTTCACGGCACATAACAGACAAACCAGAGGAGACCTTGACATGGTTGTAGTCCTACTACAAGGTGACCCACTCTGCACAGTAAATTTTCAGCAAATGTGCATATGTAGAGCGTCGTAACAGCTTACCCTGCTCGCTAATAGCTCATGATCGTGGACAAACTGCATCTCCCTGCAACATAATCTATCCCAGGCTTGAAGCGAGGGATATTGACTCAGAAGTAGCTACGCAATGCATGAGGTGCTTGCCGCATCGAGAAGCAAATCGAGCACAATGCCCATTCACGGCACATAACAGGCAAACCAAAGGAGACCTTGACATGGTTGTAGTCCTACTGCAAGGTGACGCACTCTGCACAGTAACTTTCAGCAAATGCGCATATGTAGAGCATCGTAACAGCTTGCCCTGCTCCCTGATAGCTCATAATCGTGGATAAGCTGTATCTCCCTGCACCATGATCTATCCCAGGCTTGAAACAACGAGGGTTATTGACTCAGAAGTAGCTGCGTAATGCATGAGGTGTTCGGGACCTTCACTGATGACTTGTCAATATCGGCCTGGTAAAGCGCTTTTCGCACCGTGATGGCCGCTAGAGATAAGACCTTTTTATTGAGTCTACTACAGTACTAGGCTTAAGTATTCGTAGGACAGCGCTAGTATATTTGCATCAAAACAGGCTCCAAACGAGACAGCTAAGCTTTGAACAGTTAAGTGGTATTGTTATAGCTAATTGATACTAACAATTGCCTAAGAAACTTCTAGACACTGAGGTGGCGCTGTATCCGAACTAGTTGCTACTAGTGCTGTGCCACGATCAATTATGGCTTTTACCATAGTAGTAAGATGAAAGATAAGAAGAAATCTGGCTTGGTGGCTGGGCCCTTCGGCCCGGAGAATCTTAGTTAGCCTCGGGACTACTTACTAGTAGTTATGCAAGCCTAATTTAGTAAATCACCCACACTCTAAGCGGATACTGTGGCGCGTCTTTCAATTACTTACAGATTACCATTTATCCTAGTATCAGCTTTCCATGCGTGAAATGAGGCAGCGCGTGGAAGTAACTTACAAACAGCCCATGTAGGATTTTGCACAGTCTGGATATGCAGAAGCAGAGACATGTAGACCGCCAATACTGTTGCCCCGCAAGATGGTCTCTCACAGTACCCCACCTTCTCACTATCGTACGCTGACCTAGGTCCCAATCCATCCGTTGATTCCTTATACCATATCAGAACCTCAAAATCTCAGGCTTCATATACAAGTCCTTCTGGCTTTCTTTTTCTTCAGTACCTTCTCCCTTTCAGACACTCTCCATCAATATGGGCTCTATTAACGAATCGGAACGCTACGTCAACCTGCTAGAGTACCTCCGCTCCAGGACCCAGGTTGACTGTGACAGCCTGGACATTCAGAGTAACCTTCTATCTTCGCAAGCCCGGCCGTAAAGATGCTAGTTGATCAATAACTGATTCGTGCCATTAAGTCGTCACGGAGCTAGGACCGTTCGTCGATTGCACTTCGAATCAGGTATGTAAGAACGTTCGGAGCGGCGACTGGTCGCTGATGACGCCCAGGCAGATAGCTACTTTGAGCTTCTGAACCCTCGTCGTGCAGCTTTGCTCAAGAAGTCCGCTGATCTGAGCCGACATATTCTGCCTGAATACCCGGATGTGTCTTTCGAAGAGCTAGCAGTCGAGATATCGGTACGCATGCGCCTAAGTCAATCGAATAGTACACCACCATCGTGCTTGCTGATGGGCATGACAGATGATCAGCCTATCTCTGACTATTGCACCATTGATCCCTGGAAACATTCATGTCATGGCCAATCCAAGCCTTTCCTATTCCACACCGAAGGTAATCCAAAATGGTCAACGTACGTTTCTAAGTCACGTCCAGCAGCTAGATTAACATAGGGCGATCAATGACGCGGTGTAGGTATCGCCAGCCTCTGCCAGCGGTTGGACCCTAGCTTCGATCTATCTAGGCTTTGCATCAAAGTCCCAGCTACCTGGGAGGGTCTGCAAGCCTGCCGTAAATTGAAGGACTTGGGAATCAAGACCCTGGCAACAACACTGTTCACCATGGAACAGGCGATACTTGCCGCGGAAGCGGGTTGCATTTCGATTTCGCCATTTGTGCACGAGCTCAGAGTCCATTTTGACGAAGAGTAGGTGATGTTCTCCAGTCAGAACGCCAAAACCAGGCAAGCTCAGATTTGCAGATACCATGATACGGACCCGATCTTTGACCTATGTGTCAAGGCGCAACAATACTTTGAGCGGTATTCGTACGCGACTCGAGTGAAAGCTTGCAGTCTTATCTCAGTGGACGAGGTTATGCAAGTTGCTGGTGTTGCCGCACTCACCCTCCCTCCCACGCTTCTACATCCTCTTTCCGAGATGACAGAGCCGGAAGCTAAAGTGGCCGCTCTCTCCTTGTTCAACCACAACACCAAAATAGAAGGGCAAGAGATGGAGCGCAGAAGTTTCCTCGATGAGGAAGCGCGATTTCGAGAGACATTTGCAAAGCGTGATGGCGGGAAGGGAAGGGTGAAGACGACCCAGGTACCCAGCATTTTTAAACGTCGCCGTGTGATGGTATGCCGTTACTGACATTGTTCGGCAGGCAATTGACCTCTTCTGCGAGTATCAACTCAAGGCGGAGGCTCTTATGAAGGACACCGATACCACAATAGTTGCGTAATGGTGCATGCCAGCTAATTCTTGGTGGACCTTCTGTACCAACGTGCAGCTTGATGGTTTTCGCATGGGGTCAAAGTATGTAGTAGTTGACGGAGGATGTGTCAATTTGATGATGAATGATAGTAACACAGTATACAAGGTGTTCGTCAAAAGCTCAAAGTCTTGTCCTCGCTCGGAGAAAGAAAAGTTCTCCAATGTAGCACGCACAAGGTTGATGCAACCAAGTGGCCTTCCACGTACTGCACCACCTGAGAACATGGATTTTGCTTCTATGGGATGTAATTTTTGAACTCGTACGAATGTAGCCTGAAGGTTGCATCACTGCGACATATAATGGCTCAGCTTTGTGCACACTGCTATATCCTGTCATTGAATGCCGACCAGTCGCATATAAGACAGAACCAAAGTCGTAGCCAAGTCCAATAATGTGTGAAGTTGATGTATTGATTTATTGCAGCATAAATCATCTAGAAACGAGGCTTGACTCAACGTGAGTTACAAGCCCAAAACGACGTTCGGAATCGCTGGATTGGTTGCCATTGACTTAAAAATCTGCAGACGTCGCATGTCTTCCCAGGCACCATGGTTCAACAGGTGACATGAGCAACGCCACGCCTACCTCGTACTCGCATTTGAGAGCATTTCTGTAGCTCTGGCGCATTCCTTAACTGCCGCACTCACCGCTTCAATCACCCCTCGCTCTTCCATAACTTTCAAACCAGCCGCAGTGCTTCCGCCCTTCGTGGCGACCTCTGCCACAACACAGCTGGGATCTTGGCCAGCAGCTACAAGCCCACTGGTGCCTCTGACCGCTTGCGCAGAGATCCACATCGCATCCTCCTTAGACAAACCTTGGCCGTTCCCGCAATCCAAAGCGCCATCAGCAGCACCGGCGATTATTTTTGCATAGAAGGCTAGAGATGACGCAGCAATGGCCGAGGCGTGATTGATTTGTGATTCGAGAAGTGTCTTGGTAGGACCAAGGAGGGCAAAGAGACGGTTGACTTGGCGGTTGTTGTCGTCCTGAGGCGGGATGGACGGATCTGAGGACGAAATGATAGTTACAGATTCACGATTACGAGCGGCCATGTTGGGAACTGCGCGAACGATAGTGCAGAGACATTCCGGGTCAGTAATACCCGGACGTTGCTGTTTGTCATTGAATTCTTGTGCGTTGGAGTCGGAGAGACAGCTCTGCAATTGCGCAATAGTGACGCCACCCAATACACTAACCAGTGTCTTTCTCCTCTCATTCCCAAGAAGGGCCGTCCGAACATCTTGGTCACACAAGATGTCCGCGAAAGCATATGATTTGCATCCTAGTATTACGACGTCTGCCTCCTGGGCAGCTCGCGCGTTTTGGTCTTGCAATCCCACGGTTACCTGCGGAGGAGAAGGGCGAGATGGTGACGAGGTGGACTGCAGTGACAGGACAGCTTGCCGAACTCGATCGACACTCGCGGCTTCGCGGACAGTAACGCTAATGTTAGATATCTCGAGGGGAGTTCGCACAGACGATAAGAGTGATGGGAATGTAGAGAGTGTCGGAGTAGAACGCTTCGGTGACAGAAAGCCACAGAGAAGAGATGTCCCAAGTTTGCCTTTAGAGTATTAAATTTCGTGAGTATAGTTCGTGCGACTTGACATGGTGGGAGTTGTAGTCGCTGAGACGTACCGCAGCCGAGGATAGCTATTGAAAGCCGCTCTGGCAAATCCTCCATGGTTTGCTCGCTGAGCCCGTGGAAAGGTTGCCGAGTTTTTCGGTCTGCTTCTATCTAAAGCGTCAATGCACCCAGCTTCCTCAATGTTATACGCTTAAGTGTAGCCCCATGTTAGAAGGAAAATTTGAAGTTGTACTCTGTTTATCAGGAGACCATGACACAGCGATCTATCTTGGCATATGAATCATGATCTCAGGCATCACTGTTTTGTTTACATGATTCACCTAAGCGAGAGCTGCTGCACGTTCGAGTTTGGACAAGTTGATCTGATATGCCCAAATACTAGTAGTACTAACTTCGGCTTGTCTCTGGGCAGCCAGATTCGACAGCCAGATTCGATTTCTGCAGATTCGGCATCTCGGCGTTTGGGGCTTGGCAATATATGCCCCACCAAATTTAGGTGGGGAGTTTATCACTTAATCCCCCCTCGTAACAAATCTATTAGAATGCATTTCAACGAGGGTTGCCACAGGGTATATTGCATTTCAACGAGGGTTGCCACAGGGTATATTGCCTATTTGGGACTCTTGATACATTTCATAGTGTTGTATCTATATTTATGCCTATTTGCCTCGTTTTGGCTGATTCTGCTTGCCCTCATGTATAGCCTTGTAGTCCAAAGTAGGTCCTCTAGCCCGTTTTGGCCGTGCATTCGTCTGCAGCAGGGCAGGAGCTGTTGATGCAGGCAGAATAAACGGATTCTCCTCCCAGGGCGCAGGCAAGTCATCCTCTAACGGTAGAGGCGTTGCCCCAGCAACTAGTTCCTCTGGAGGCGGCGGCGTTTCTCTGATAACAAGTATCTCATCCTCCTGCCCTGTTACAACAGCAACGTCTCTAGAACCAAATGAGGGTATCTCTGCTGCAGTAGAAGCGGCCAGAGTCATGTTGATAGCGAGTTGGTCTCTCTCTTGCAGCCACTGTTCGCGGTCGCGAGCGTTAAGCTCTCTTGCAGCTATTTCAGCCCCTGTGAGCCCCCTAGCGTCAGCCTTGCCGTGAGCCCTTTTTGGTACCCATTTCTGCTTTGGTATAAGTAAGGGATTGGCCACAGGGACTCCACGACCCTTATACGCAGCCTGCGCAAGGCCTAATATCCTTCTATCATTTTGAGCTATTTCATCATTGATGTTAGGGCTCAACTGGTTAAGACAAGTCTCAACTAGAAGCTGGGTCCAAAGGGTTGGTTGGGTAGAACAGGAAGAGTAGTGAACAATACTAAGATGTCTTCAACTTAGGTATGAGCTGATAACATGAGTTGACTACGAAGACTATGAAACTATCTGGGAAATGAGCGTGCTTATATAGACTAGAAGATTCGTGCTCAGAGTTGATCATCCTGATCACCTCTGATCATTACATTATCTAAGTCTGATTATGTATATAGTTCAGGGTCTAGTCCTGTCT